GTGAACTGCCAAGGGGTTCCCATTATTACCCCACCGCGTAAGGAACGCAAAATCCGGGAACATAACACCGATATGACGGAAACTAGGGCGGCAAGAGTGGAATAAAACACCAGGCATAAGGCCGAGCCTTCCATCCTTTACCAAGTATATAGATGCATTAATTAAATAAGATATATTATGATATCCCAACAAGTAAACATGTTCCAACAAGGAACAACATCTCCATGTTCTAACAAAGAACAAACTTCAATCTTCACCTGCAACTAACAACGCTATAAGAGGGGCTGAGCAAAGCGGTAACATAGCCACACAACGGTTTGCTAAGACAAGGTGGGTTAGAGGCTTGGTTTAACAATATGGGAGGCATGATAAGCAAGTGGTAGGTATCGCAGCATAGGCATAGAAAAAGAGCGAGCAACTAGCAAGCAAAGATAGAAGTGATTTCGAGGGTATGGTCATCTTTCCTGAAATCCCGCAAGGAAGAAGAACGAGTCCATGAAGAAGACAAACGGACGTAGACGAACGGGTCCTCACAAACGCGACGTTACCGGAACCAACCCAAAGAAGCAAACACCGGAAAGAGACACACAACAAAGTAAACAACCAACACATGAACATGGTATGATATACGGGATGCGGTATGCGATGCATATGTATGATTTGACGAAGGATGAAAGAACCTAGCCTCAACATGGAAATCCAAGTGTGCCACTGGAAAGGTGAGGTGATTTTGGTTGAAATCGGTATAAAGATTACCGGAATCGGATGCACGGTTTGGAAATGGCAAGCAAAACAAATATGGCACCGGTCTGCGATAAACAACAAGTAGCCATCTAAATGCATCAAGCTAATTATGCTACAGCACTCAAACATGGCAACAAAATACATGGGAGGGATCCACTCCTAAAGCTTGACAAAAGATGAACACAGAGCTACGGCCAATTCATCCATTAACAGGTTCAAACAAGCATGGCAAAAGTGCAATTGATAAATAGATTTCAGACTTAGTGAATTTAACACAAGCCTGGAATTTTAGATCAGATAGCCAACTTTGGAGCAAGAAAACTAGAAGCTACAGGAACTTAACATGGCAAGGCAGGGCATGGCATGGAGCTACTCAAAGCACTTAACAAAAGTCCCTTAGTGACCTTGAGCCAAAAGGGATCAGAAAATACAATTGCAAGCATGCGAACATGGCAAAAACATAATCAGGTTACAGACTTAGAGAAAAACTGGAGCATGCAAATATCTTAACGAGTAGGCATGTTTACGAGCTCGATGCACTCACTACAGAGCATGGCATGACAAACTAAGCATACACACCTCAAGAATACATATTATATAAGCTAGACATGGCAAGAATAACAACATAGCACGCACGGATCAACAACAACGTCCTCGGCAAAATCGCTAACAAGTAGACAATCTGCCAGGATTCACGAAATAGCAAAAGTAGAGCTCGATTGACTCAATCTAGGGTGCTCCATAAATGCAAATAAATACATGGATGAATAGAGCACCACAAGATTAATAAATCATCCTTACTAATCATCCTCAAAAGAGGCACAAATCACTAGTAAACAACATGAACATATGGCATATTGGTAAAAACAGATCAAGGACTTAGAGAAATTCTAAGTCCCTGAAATCAGCATTAACGAATGCACCACTTTGCAAGCTTGTGCTAGTCACCACACATATCACAAAAATACATGGATAGCACCTCTGCAAATATGGCATGGCATATAACAAAACACATGTAGAGCTCAGGAGCATATCATGCACACATTAATCATGACAAAAATGACAAATAGCTATTTGGTGCAGCAGAACTGACAATTAACTCAAATAGCTCTCTTCCAACAGCATTTCGGATATCAAGATGAACTCAAATGGAAATGATGCGATGAGATGAAATGATGTGCTCTCTGAGACGAACATTTTGATATGCTACACGCCCAAAACGGAGCTACAGATGCAAAGTTACGACATGATGAACATGGGCATTTGAATCTGGAAATCTCAAGGACTTAGTGGAATTTTTACCCCGCGGGTAAAGTCAACCCGGGACGAGGAGATCCGGGACGGGGTGGATGCGGTTCGGGATGGTGCCGTTTGGTTCATCTCCTGGTGGATCTCATCCATCTTCGTCTTCGGCGAGCTCGAGGAAGTCCGGCGAGGTCGGAGATGGCCGGAGTTGGCGGTTCCGGGCCGGATCTGGCCGGATCCGGCCGGATCTCGACGAGGGCGGCGCGGCGAACAACGAAGTGGCGGAGCTCGGCCGGAGTGGGAGGCGAGGCGCGGGAGGACGCTGTGGTCCATGCGGCGAGGCAGCGAGGAAGCTTGGCGGCGGGGCGGAGCTTGCGCGGTTCCGGCGAAGGGTCGCCGGAGATGGTGGCCGGCGGCGAGGGCCTCCGGCGGCGGCATGACGCGGATCGAGCGGCGGCGGATGAGGGCAAGGGCGGCGAACAGCTCGGCCCGGATCGGCCCACGGCGGGCCGCGGATGGGCTCCGGCGGGCCCGGCGAAGTGGGGAGGAGAAAGAGGGTGAGGTGGCAGCGCGTGAGTGGATGAGGGCGGTGGCGGCGGTGACGTGGCACGCTGGTATTGGTCTGAGTGAGGTGGCCGGCTGGGGTGGACACGCCCGACGCGGGGTCGGACATGTCCGGCGCGGCGCGGAGGGAAAATTAGGGTTTCGTCTGCGCGAAATTCGCAGGGGATAACATATATATATATGTAGAGGGAGCTAGGAGAGTCCAAATAAGGTGCAGTTTTCGGCCACGCGATCGTGATCGAACGACCGAGATGATGGAGGAGGTTTAGGTGGGTTTTTGGGCCACTTTGGAGGGGTGTTGGGCTGCAACACACATGCGGCCTTTTCGGTCCCTCGGTTAACCGTTGGAGTATCAAAGAAGTCCAAATGGCACGAAAGTTGACATGCGGTCTACCGAGTAAACCAAGACCGCTTGGCTAGTCTCGGTCCAATTCGGAAATGTTTAATCCCCACACACGAAAGAAAGGTAGAAAGGGCCACCGGAGGAGATAGGAGCGCCGGAATGCAAAACGGACAACGGGGAAAATGCTCGGATGCATGAGACGAACACGTATGCAAATGTAATGCACATGATGACATGCTATGCAATGCATGACACGCAAGCAATGACACGGCAACAACAACGAATAACTGGAGGACACCTAGCACATCGGTCTCGGGGCGTCACAAACATAAAACCATCACAAACTCGCTATCGAAACTTCTGCTATAAGACAAAAACCTATTACCAACAATAGTTTTCTTGCAAGATTACATCAAAGCAATCAAAACTAGACAAGAAGACTAAACCAATCGCTCCGGAGGAAGAGCCAAAAGGATCTGCCACTCACCACAAAGAACTTAAAGTATCATCAATGTGAAAGAGCCCATGCGTCGTTGCAACAAAAAAACCTTCAAGAGATCCGCCAGCGAGTAGTTTCATCCATTTGTACCTGAGCTACATCATGAAGAATAGCTTTGTTTTCTCCCCTAGGCAAACTAATCAATCTATACCTACTAATAGATCAGAAGAGTTTCTGCCCGTCTGTCGTACATTTTATAGAAATGCCTTCAATGATAATTAACCTGCAATCCACTTTAAGTCAGAGAAATCGAAACGCTTTTTTGCATTTTTCATACAAAATAACATTCTTGGAGGTCATGGAAAAAAGAAACAACAAAATCATCACTCCAAAAATAGCTTTTTTGGAGCATCAATTTTATTTTTTTGCTACGACTTACACGAATGTCATTTTATGATGAAATTTTGCAAGCATTTGAAACATTTGTCAAATGAATTTTTTTAGTTTGTTTTCATTTTTTTCTTCTGATCTTACTGTTCACACGAGCTCATATGAGCTCGAGCTCAATTTATCAACTTCCCTTCCCTTTCTGGTAATTAACCCGCATGACACAACGACATGAATTAAAGAGAACCCCCCTCCTGATATTTTGGTTAATCAACCTACAATCCATCTAAAATAAATGTTTTTCAAATATTCATATATTTTAAGTCTTAACTCTAATTTTAACATGTTACATATGAAATTGGATTAGAAAATGCGTAGAATCTGAACATGATGTTATTTTACCTGTTCAACACTAAAAATGTTATTTAAGGTGTAATCTTAATCAATAGCGCACGACCATTCTATCTTTCGTACCGACGCCAATCCCGATTGCAAATAAACACCTTAGGAAAACCAAATTGAAAACGAAAGAAACCAACGATGACCACGAATGCACGCCTCAGCCTCACAAGAAAAAGAACCAGATGGGATGTCATGTTGAAATAAAGGACATGGACCTATTAGAATTTGTAGTAATGATTCTTGGATTAGAGACATGTGATTTTTTTTCTCCTGTTGCAACCCACTGGCTCTTTTGCTAATACTTCAACCAGGGACTGCACTATACTAAAGAACAAGGGCCACACTACTTTTTTTAGGGTAGGGACAACACTACATGCGCTTCGAAAGTGATTTTTATTTTGAGATGATTAGAAAGTGATGAGTGGGACCACGTGATACATGTGATAAACAATTCATACAAACAGTTAAGAAAACGTGATGCGTGGCCTAATCTTGTCCATGTATTCGGCCTAATCTATTTGCCTCGACAAATTTGAGGGCCTGCGTTCGTTTCTGCTACTAGGCCAGGCCCATCATCACACTCCATGGGCCTTCTCCTGTCTACGATTTAACAGCCCAATTTACAAGCGATATACCGGCGCCAGAAAAAAAACTAAAAAAAAAAGCGATATACCGCGCATCGGCATCAATTTATGGACACCAATTACGAGACAGTCCGATGGGCGACGGCCGATAGCATCGTCTCCTTGCCACACAAACGGAAGATGAGCCAAGAAAGTCTCAGCCATAGACACTGCCGTCGCTGCGACCGCGCGTGCTTGTGTGGCCGAGAGAGCAGCGCTGGTGGGTAGACTGTACGGCGAGCAAGCCGGAGCCATGGCCTTTACCCCCACGTCGGTGTCGGCCACCCTGCCGCCGTCGGCTCCTCCTCCTCCGGCGGCCACCAAGGGCACGCCCCGCCGCGCGCCATGGAATGCCGCGCCGCTGGCCGCGGCGGCAGCCTCGTCGACGGCTGCATTGATGGACGCGACGCCGGTCGCGCACGCCGCGGCGTTCTCCAAGGAGGACGTCGCCGGGTCGTTCACCAAGGTACGCGCGCGGACGCCGATTCGCAAGCCCCTGTTTGAGCTCCGAATTGTATTCGTGCCGTGGGCCGTGGCATTGCGGCTGAGTGCTCGATTGGGTTGGTGATTGGGCAGGTGGTGGACACGGTGGATGCGGTGATCGGCGTCGGCGGCAAGGTCGCCGAGCAGTCCTTTGTCGTGCTCAGGGCGCTGGGCGAGGCCGTGAAGCCCGCGCTACCGGTGCTGCAGAGCGCCGGCGAGCAGGCCCTGAAGCTCGCCTCGCCGGTGGTCTCCGACGCCTCCAGGCAGGCCACGGAGGCGCTCCAGGGCGCCGGCGTCGACCTTGCCCCCTTCCAGTCTGCTTTCAAGGTACGCCCACTCGCAGTCTCCGGCGACTCCTTTATCAGCATCGAGGTTCATTCAGTGACGCCTCCCTCTTCAGTAGACGGTCGCAGATGCGGCGCAGCCGGCCTTCGGCGCCGCGAAGCCGATCGCCTCGGAGACTGTGCAGACCATCGGGTCCCTGGAAGGCACGGACTACGTCGTGGCCGCCGGAGCCGCGTTCCTCGCGTACCTGCTCCTGCCGCCGGCCTGGTCCCTGCTCTCATACGGCCTGCGCGGCTACAAAGGTTCTTCCATTGCTCACCCTGTTGCTACACTCCATGTACCAACGGAAACCATTTTTTACCATTGCTCACTCTGCTGCTGCTGCTGCGTTGCATCTGCATCCTGTGATTCAGGTGACCTGAGCCCAGCTCAAGCTCTGGACATGGTCGCCTCTCAAGGCTACCTTATCATCGACGTGCGAACCGAGAACGACAAGGCCAAAGCCGGCGTGCCGCAGCTCCCCTCCAACGCAAAGAACAAGATCATCGCTCTGCCGTGCGCACTCTTTCCTTTCCTCCCTCGTAACCTCACAATCACAGCCACCCCCTGTTTCATACAATTGCACTTTTTTTGCTCTGTCAGGCTGGAAGAACTTCCGAACAAGATTAAGGGCATGGTGCGGAATGCGAAGCGCGCCGAGGCGGAGATCGCCGCGCTGAAGATCTCCTACTTTAAGAGGATCCGCAAGGGCTCCAACATCGTCGTCATGGACTCGTCGGTGCACCGAGAGACAACGCTCTGCATTTGCTTCTGAAGATGAACTCACACACTAACCTCTCCGACCTTTAACCATGTCTGCCTGGGAAATGCAGGTACGGTGACAACTCCAAGATTGTGGCCAAGACACTCAACAGCGTGGGGTTCAAGAACTGCTGGGTCATGGCCGGCGGCTTCTCGGGCCGGAAAGGGTGGGCGCAGAGCCGCCTTGGGACGGATTCCTACAACCTCTCCGTTGTCGAAGTCGTCAAGCCGTCACGGGTGATTCCGGCGGCCGCTGAACGGTTCGTGACGGTCTCGTCGACTTCGACCCCCTCCAGGACGACTCGCAAGCTTCTCCCTGGCAGCGTGGACAGCTGAGAAAAGATTTGAACTCTGTAGAGATCCGATGTCCATTTCACTGAATTTCCAGCTTTTGTTCTGTAACCTGTACAATGTTAGTGCTGCAAATTGCTTATCAAGCATCCTCAGAAGAAAACACCACAAATATCTGGGGCATATAGCAATCAGTGAAAATTTAGGAAATGGCCTAGAGTAATGAGGTTTAGTTGCTGGAAGGAGTCAAAGTTGCCACAAAGAACATCACTGTTTGTGAGCCAGAATTTGTAATATATCCAGTTGACTGAACACATACAGTTCACTAAACAGTATGGAATGCCTCCAAGTCCAGGCAAAAATATAAAGATACTGCAACGTAAAATGGATTTATAAGCGGAGGAAACCGATTACGCAGATTGATAATTATAATGTTTATTATTATCTCAGAAGCCAAAATTGGTACAAGGTGTTGGAAATATTAGCACTTGCTCGATTAATCTAATCCACAAGTAGACAGTAAACATGGCAAATACGGTATGCATCTCATACCGATATCTAAGCATGTGAGCATGTATAGTACATAGAACCGAACCATCTATGAACAGCATATATACGGCTAGCACACAAACATGCAAATCAGGGATGAACGAGTCATACCCTCTGGTTGGCCAGGCCAACGCGGCGGCGGTAGTAGCAGCCTCTGCATCAGCCAAGGCCTTCTTCTTGGCGACTTCATCGTCAGCCATTGAGTCGATGTAGAGGAAGTAGTAGAAGCAGAGGCAGACGAAGACGGGGACGGATCGGGGACAGGGTTGCGAAGGCACCTGCTCTCCCGAGCAACCGTGCACGCGGTCGTCGGGATGGGATCGCCGGAGGCAGTACCGTCAGAACAGCCCACGGTCCAACGTCTCGGACAGTGGCCCTTCCGTAAGTGATCCGTTAATTAATTAACAATTAATTAACCATTCCTGGGTGGCAAAAATAAACTTCGGCTCGTTCTCGCAACCCGCGTCGTGACGAGGGGAGACGTGGCGGGTGGCGGAGGTGGAGGAGCGCGCGTATACAGCTTCTATTTCCAAGCTTCCAATAGCAAATGATGGAGCAACCCTTATAAAGAGGTCTCACTCTTCTTACTGTAGCAGTATGATACTAAACTTTCCACACTTTCCACCACTTGCCGTACGCATACATGAGCCTTAGAGATTAATCAGGAATTATTGTCTTATATGGACCTAAGCCTGTCCATAATCCAACACAAGGTTCTCGGCATAGTTAGCGGTCGAGAAGTCTTTTTGGTAGGCTAGTTGGCTGCTTCCATCCTGTGGTAGGTTAGTTGGCTGCTGCCATCGCCGCAGTGCATCTTTAGCAAGATTCTTCCAGCAGTCATCACCTCCAAGGGGAACCCAAAAATGAATCTGCTCGCAGCAAAGTTCATTCCCGCCCCTAGGAGTGTGACATCAATTACAAAATCCTTACACCAGGCTTTATTTGCATAATCTCTCGACATCCATATACTCCCTCCATTTTATAATGTAGTGCGTCCGCGTTCTCGAGATTCAAATTTGACCGTAAATTGAACCAACGAGACCGACTGCAGCGGGAGAAAAAATTATATCACCGAATTATATCGAAAATACGAATTTAATGGTATAATTTTTGGTCCCACCGTAGTCGGTCAAACTTGAATCTCGGAAAGCGCGAACACACTACATTGTGAAACGAAGGAAGTATCAATTTTGGTATTTGGAATGCAACAACTGAAACTTAGCAAACCCAGAATTTCTCTAAGCTCAACAGACGAAGGGTATAGCCTAGCTAGGCTCATCTGGCAGTGCCATAACACCCCATGCTTCTTTCTCAAGATTGAATACTAGAATGGCCATCACATTCCATGATCCTTCAGATTCCAGCGATAAAACATGCAAGTTGCCGCCAAAATAGGCCGCATGGCCATATGCATAAAGAAAAGACGGAGGTGATTTTCCTTTGAAAAAAATATATTTTTCGTCTCTCAACACATGATGGAGTTTAGATTTGATCCCTCAACTTTAAAATCAGACTAAAAGTGTAGCAATCTCTCTATAGGTGTAGCATTTTTAACAGAAGCACTCCCGACTTCAGCGATGTTGTTTACCAATGAGACGGTCCCCTTGCATGAGCATCGCTAGCGCGTGTTGTGGCGCATGCACGTAACTAGCCAGCCAACAAGTCAAGCTAGCTCATGTGCATACGTGCTTCTAGGAACTACTATGTAGGGGCATTACTGCTAGGGACCAAGCTCTTGTATGGACACTGGGGTCAATTGACCTCAATGCCTTCCAGTATTTGAAGCTAGTTTTTTTAGGGAATCAAGTTTATTCATTCATAAGCCACAGAAAGTGAAATACATCTCGAATCATGGGGTTGGCCAAGTTACAAGTGGCGCCTCTGACCTAATGAACGAGCAAACTTGGCTATGCTATGAGCTTCGCTATTCAAGTCTCGACTTTCAAAAACAAAATTACAAGTAAACTGAAAGTGTGTTAAGTCGACTAGAGGGGGGGGGGTGAATAGGCGATTTTTATGAATTCTTTACTGAGGAATTTCAGAGTGAGGAAATTCCAAAGAGAAGAATTACTTGTAGCGGAATAAGTACTCAGAAGTAAACATAACAGAACATGATCATGGTCTTCATGATGAAATGAAAATAAGCACAGAGTACAGAAAACGTAAACACAGGATAAACAAAATGAAGACAAACAGACTAAAGAAATTGAGCCGAGGAAATAGAGAAAGTCTTCAGTCAAAGTCTTCAAACAGATATGAACAAGCACACAACACAAAAATGAGGAAATGGAAGGGTTGAGGAAATGAAACCAGTTAGCTCTGTGAAGACAATGATTTGGTAGACCAGTTCCAACTTTTGTGACAGTTATACGTCTGATTAGGGCGGCTAGGTATTTAAACCTGAGGACACACAGTCCCGGACACCCAGTCTTGAATACGCAGCTCAGGACACTTAGTCCTCACCGTATTCCCCTTGAGCTAAGGTCACACGGACCTCGCCCAATCACTCGTGGTAAGTCTTCAGGTGACTTCCAAACCTTCACAGACTCGGTCACTCAGCGATCCACAATTTCCTTTTGGATACTCTAGACCATGACGCCTAACCGTCTGGAAGATGCACAGTCTTCAAAGATAACAAGTGTCGGATCCACGCAGGATCAATCTCTTCAGTGATGCTCAATCACTTTGGGTTTGTAGGCACTTGGGTTTGGGTTTTCCCCACTTGATGATTTTCGCTCAAAGTCCTCGGAGGATGGGATGCTCTCAAATGACAAGTGTCAGTTTCTCTCGGAGCAGCCAACCAACTAGTGGTTGTAGGGGGCGGCTATTTATAGCCTAGGGAGCATCCCGACATGATAAGACATAAATGCCCTTCAATGATATGGCCGTTAGGTGGAAGAATATTTTAGGACAGCTGGCACGTAGCACAGCAACGGTTGGAAATTTGACTAACAAATTTCTCAGGGCTATCATGTTCCTCACTTGTAGGCAATCCGCACTGGCGAATTTCTAACTCATCAGTCAGAACAAATTCCTCAAAGACCAGAAGAGCTCCGTCTCTGTCACTGAAGAAATTTGACTGAACTGTATGAGATTTTCAATGGCTTCAGTTGAAGGGATTGGTAGGTGTAGGATTTTGAGTTGAGCATCACTTGAAATTTTTCCTTAGAATTTTCTCGACCCCCTTTAACAGTACGGTGTTTCCTATGACTCAAGAAAGAGAAAATGAAACTACGAAAACAAAAGTCTTCACGCTTTATGTTCCTAGAATGAATACCAAGTCTTCAGGATCACACCAATTTCTTCACTTTCAAAGTCTTCAGAAAGTCTTCAGTAATCCAAAGTCTTCAGTCGAAGAACTTCATTTTTAGGGGTCAACTTTCTCTGTAAATATCAAACTCCTCATATACTTATAGACCCGTGTATACTCACAAACGCATCTGTCTCTTAACCTATAAGTCTTCAATACACCAAAATCACTAAGGGGCACTAGATGCACTTACAATCCCCCTTTTTTGGTGATTGATGACAATATAGGTTAAGTTTTCAACGGGACTAAACATATGGAGTGTAAATACTGATATTGAGGAATTTGATTGCAAGATATAGAAGAACTCCCCCTGAAGATGTGCATAGTGAGGAATTAGCTTTCGAAGAAATGCACACTTGAAGAGTAGAATCATGGAGATCTCCCCCTATATATTGTAATCCATACACGCATTTAACATATAATATGAAGAATTTGAAATGCATGATGAAATATGGCGCCTGATGTAATTCAGCATGCGTGCATTAACATATATGATGAATAAGCATGCAGAAGAACACAACAAAAGTATCAGACCACCATCGGGTTTAAGTTTACAACTCAATCCAGCAAAGTCTTCAAAAGAACGAGAGTTGTAACTTAGAAAAAAACGCCCATACAAGTAGACCCACCTGAAGACTAACTCAAATTTCTCCCCCTTTGTCATCGAATGACCAAAATGGACAAAAAATGAGGACTAATGCCCCTAAAGAATATCATCACTGCGTCTATGAAGGAGCGCCAGCATTGTTGGGGTCGGTTGTTGAAGTAGGGTCTGCCGCAGTGTCGTCCAAGTCTTCGTGTTCATCTGTCGCGCGTGATGAAGAATCTGAGCTGGCTACCAAGGAAGGAACTTTAGTCTTCTTGAATTTCTTCGCCGGTGGCGGCTTAGAACATTCAAAGTCCCGATTGAAACCCATTTGCTTTAGATCATCTTCACCATACAGATGTCACAGAACAGCCCAGGTGCGACCGAAGACTTCATGGAGGTAGTAATGGTTTTTCTTCACTGCATTGTGTGTGGCAGTCATGTTGTGAAGAATAGAACCAAACTGACGCTTAACCCATTTGTGGTTGCGATCGACGTTCTGGTGAAGACTGAGGAGAAGCTCACTATTAGTCATCACCCTTGGAGCTGTGCCTTGAGGATTTTGCTTTGAAGTATTTGCGACAGAGTCATGAGTGGCAG